TGTGATTTAGAGTTTATATTGAACATTCATTTCGATTATTTCGAGTTGATATACTTGATATACTTGATGATGTTATAGTTGAATAATTGATATTTATGGTGATATTTCTTGTGATTTTTCATTGAATTTGAAAATAAGTAATGTAGTTAGTAATACACTACATGTCGGATAAGAGCAGACTGTGAAAGAAAAAAAACGAAAAATAATTGGAATAACTGATATACTAATGTACTAATATACTAACAGACTAATGTAACTTGTATAGGTTTGTAGTAATTAAGATAAGACGTATTTAAATTATATTTTCAGTTCGGGAAATTACAAATTAAGGAAGGAGGAATGTAATATATTAAGAATGGCAATTATGCTAGAGTCAGTAGTTCATTATGAATGACAATTGTGCTAGGGAGTCCGTAGATTTTGGGAGTACGGGCAGTCTGGAATAAAGCTTGGACGTGGCCACACGTGTTGCAACAGTGTCCGTCTTTATTGACTCACAAACATTACAAAACTGAGAATATCAAATAAAGAATCCTAATGCGGTAAATCCAAGTTATTGGACGCGTTTCAAAATTCATGGCGCGTTCCCACTAATAATGTAGTTACGAATATATTGTGCACAGTACGCAGTTAATACTCCGACTGTACAGTATTGGTGTACAATTCGCGCTATCAATCCTCACATATTTGTTATGAGATATAGATTCCTTTGAAATAATGAGTTTTCCGCATTTTGTGAGATTTTGTTCGCTCTCTTTTCCATAAGTCAAACACCCGAACCACGTTGAAAGCGACAAAAAAAATGTTTGGATTTACTACTCACCCAACAAGTATTTTCATGTTTAAACTGATCTGATTTTAAGTTGACACGACTCGTTTTGTGTGAGGGTCTGTGTAGAAGAAACAAGAATAGTACATGTTCATATACCAGATTTTCGGAATATCCCAACGCCTATTAATGTCTAGAGGCAATTATTGAGTTAAACAGACAAGTTTCACAGACAACGTTGAAAAGTAATGAACCTCGAATTGCATTAAATTCAAAGGACAAAAGTAAAGATAAACAACCTGAAACATACATTGAAAATATACAAATAGAGCAAACGTACTGTACTTTCAACATCATTTGTAGTGAATTAGGAATATCGAATGTCATTTCTATGACATGTACCTTATATCCGTGAACGATTAAGCCAGATATACGACCAATATATACTACATGAATGAGTGAAAAATTAGGACCGCGATCCCACAGACGTACCTTCTGTCGGCGTATATAACAATAAAGAGGTAATACAAGGCGTTGTCTGCTTATTGACTGCAACTACGAGAAGTCTCAGCTGGTAATGATTGTGCACGAAGATTACAAATAAAGCAGTTCTGAAAGATTTTATCCGTTTATTATTACGTAATATAAAACAATTACGTCATCACTTTACGTTTTCTTGGATCAATGCAAAGCCTCCGGCTGTACCTTCCTTAATGTCTTGTATACCACGTGACAAACACAATGAAAGGCACCCTTATATGGATGTACATAATTATTGCAATGGAAAATGAGTTTGCAGCCGAGGGCTACAGATATCGAGTACCTGTTTATTTTGAGATTTAAAATGACTTTGTGTACTTGTCATCTGACTGCACTTGACTTTGCAATTATCAATTAGTATTGATGTCAGTGACCTCCAGTTAAACAGTGTAGAACATTCAATATGGCTGCGATATTAGGAGTACTGAATATGACATTAATTTTAATTGTTATGTACGTATGCGATTCTAGAAAGCATCGTTCACCAATTGCACATGCGTTCATTACCACCAACAAGTTCAGTAATAGTTTCACGAATTGCAATTATATTAAAATGACAAAGATTAGGAATAAGAACGTGAAATATGAACGTACTTAAAGGAAAACATATTTAAATAGAAACAATTTGTTCGTACTTTCAATATAATGTATAGTAATTTAGAAATATCGAATTTCTGTTTTATTTATCCATGAATGATTAAGCCTGTTACACGTCCAAAATAGAATAGAATAGAATAATGCTTATTACATCTTTAATGAAATCTGACATCTCAGTTTTGGCATTTGCTATATTAAAGCTTTTTTTTAAATAAACAACTAAATCACACTGAAAATATAGCACAACAATACAATTAATTGATTTTCACCTTTTCTTATTTTGTAGGCTTTCTGTATGTAATTTAATAACCCGAGTAGACATTGTTTGTTAGTTGTGTTTAAAATGTGTATAAATTTATCTTTGTTGATGTAATTTTTGAAATCTGGATTGGAGAATAGACAATATATTCTTGTATATTTTCTGTATAGAGATCACACTCAGTGATGAAATGGATTTCATCCTCAATCACGTTACATTTTTTACATTTACTGTCCTGAAATGTTATCATTGATTTTGTGTGTTTCTATGTACAGATGATGGCAGCTGATTCTAAATTTGCTCATTGTGTGAACTGCAGTTAACTGTTGTAAATAATATTCATGTCTAATGTCTTTTTTGAATAAACTGTAAGTCCTCAGTTTAGATTCTGTTCTTCGTATGTCTATGTTCCATTTGTTAATGTAGTACTTTGCTGCCATTTTGTTGAAGTTTTGTTTTGTAATATCCATATGAATATATATTACAGTAACTATGCATGAGTGCAAAATGAAAGCCGTGATCCCACAGATGTACGTAGTCGGCGTATATAACAAACATGAGATAGCACAAGACGATGGTAATGATTTGGCGCGAACATTACAAATACAGCAGTTTAGAAAGAGTTTACCTGTTTATAATTACGTAATATACACCAATGACGTCATCACTTTACGTTTTCTTGAATTAACGCAAAGCCTCCGGCTGTACATGATCCATTGAATAAGATGACGTTGTGTTATGTATACCACGTGACAAACACAATGAAAGGCATTCCTGATATGCAAGTACATAATTATGACAATGGAAAATGAGTTGTTTACAGCCGAGGGATACAGATATCGAGTACCTGTTTTTAAATTTAAAATGACCTCGAATCCACATAAGTGCTATAGTATTGTACATATGCGATCCTGTGACACTAGATCGCCAATTACATTCGCTCGAAGTATAAACAGCCCAGCTCAAGGTATCAAATCGAATTGAATATATGTATCGAGTCGACAGGGGAGCTCATAAATGCTTCCAGACGGTGGCTGATTTAATTTAGAAATAGCGCTACGGGTACGCGTTTAATTAAAACCATCGTTACTTATAGACACATATCCCATAATGCAATACGCCAACGACGACATTGTAAAGGTAATCCCAATGAAAACTCTTGCACCCGTCTCAGTACTAGTATCTTGTAATCTCGTTGACTAAGCCATGCTTCCAAATTACAGTAATTAAAGAAACCTAAGGAATGACACAATAATAAAAAAAATACAAATGACAAAATAAATTTAATAAAAAAAAATACCGACCAACCAGCCCTAAGAATGGTAATGAGTTTTCATTGGACGGTTCAAAGAAAAAAAAGGAAAAAATGATTCTATAGATCGTCAGGTAACCATGACCCAACGCTGTGATCTTATTTTATGATGTTGTTCACATAATACAGATATAATATACACTAGTATATTGGGTACTATGGTATAATGAAGCTGGCCTAATAATTAATCATTGCTAGAGAGTTTAAAGCGCGGTAGTCGACGCGCTGCGCATGTGCGAGATATATGGGTCTCATATAAACAAAGATGGCGACTTTGACTGTTGCGCAAGATCAACGAGTACCGAACTGACACGTTACCAAGCTTTAATTAGGTAATTTTCATGTGATTGGAAGGTATCCGAAGGAGTCACCGGCGTTAATCAGTGCAAGTCGCGCTCAGGTCAAACCTCATACTTGTGATTTCCATTTGAAGAGCGCATTTGATTGTGGACAAATCAATGTTTATCAACACAAATGTCGAACATGCGCAGCGCGACGACTACCGCGCTTTAAGATTTGTGTACGTAGTGGGAACGTAACGTGTTGTTCTAATTTCGTTTGCGTTACGTTCTATGGTGAAACAGAACCATGTCAATCCGTCTCTCATTGAGCTACCATAATATAACTATCAAATAAAATTTGTTATGTCATTTCACGTCCGTAATCTGAATTAGTAGTTAGTTCCCAGACATTTAACAGAGCTATCGCTATTCCCATCCACTCTGCTGAGGTCCCAAGCCTGTTTGCCGAATCCTCTTTCCGCAGATCAATGTCATGCGTTTTCAGTGGGTATATAAATATCAGCTGAAATACATCCAATATTTCTTATTTCATCATAAATATACAAAATCACTCTAATATATAACGTTTTATCAGTGTCAGTGAATATTAATCAAAATTGACAGCGAGAAAAGCTCTCTGAAATCAACTACGAGTCAGTCACGTTGATCACGTTCAAAACGACTGCCGTACGACCAGGCAACCGATGACGTCATTGGTTCGCGAGGAGGTCATGCACAAAGCAGTGACGTAATCGTTCTCGTTCCGTTCTCATATGCGCATCTTAATGTCTCTAATAATATGTTGGTCTTTTAAAATTGACAACGACAGATTTAGAGCACGTGTAATTTACAGTATGCTAATCAATGAAAAAGAGCAATATTTGTTATGAACAATTATGTACAATTATATATGAACAATAATATATGAACAATTTGTACGTTATGAAATGGCGTACATTCAATTACATCACGAGAGCGCACTGTCGTCTGATGGCGTGACTTATAAGAACGGTGTATCGTGGTATATAAATATAAAACGCTTTTATAATCTTGGATTATTATTATTATTATTATTATTATTATTACAAAGTAGCCCAATAGCAAGTGTAGTGTTATTGCTTTTCATCAGTTATGTTCCATCGAAATACATGATGGAAAGTTGATGCCATTGTTCCAATGTACCAGACTGCAGTTCGTGCTTATATATTGAAAGCGATTATATATCGGGAGTGTAAACTAGTCATGGTCGGTGAAATACATTCGTTCCTGCTCGTTGCGTCTTGCACACTCGTGTCTTCTTCTAGACCGCACATAATTTTCATCCTAGCCGATGACTTGGGTTGGAGTGATGTTGGATATCACGGTTCGGTCATAAAAACGCCACACATTGACGCGTTGGCATCGGAGGGAGTGAAATTGGACAATTATTATACGTCATTGCTATGTACACCGTCGAGGAGCCAATTGATGACTGGTAGATACGAGGTATGAACAAATATCATCGATTTGTGGTACTGTAAATTTAATATTTTCGCTCGGAATTAATTTTCGTTATTTTCAGTGACAATGAATACTTTTTTTCCTATATTTTACATTCAACTCGTCATAAATCAGTGAAAATAAAATCCACACAAAACATCCAAAAATCTTTTCAGCGAAAATTAATTCCGGCTAAAATAAAGTAAAGTCATAGTAATTTCATAGTAATTGGATTAAGGTTTAACCTTTACACCACTAGTTTCCTCTTTACATCACACATTCACAAAGTAGTCCCATTTAAAGTCTACACTTTCCTTCGGGAGATTGGGACAAAAATAATCAATTTGTTTTTAGTAAAAACTGAAAGTTGACTCAAATTTTGTCGGCTTCAAAATTAGGGTTCATTTCTAGAAATATTGAAGAATATGAGAAAAAAAGTGCAGACAAACTGAATTTAGGCAAAAAAGTTTGGTGGTGAAAAGGATAAGATTCAGTGTAGCCTGTTGAAAAATGTAAGACTGGTACAGAGAAAATCTATCACGGTTGTATTTGGAATAAGAGGTTTATTTGAAGTATAGTAATTGTCATTTGTTCTTATGCCGTCAAGGGTCTAATAAAAATATCAGTGCGCAAGTGAAGTGGGACAATATTGATGTCATGACTTGTTCTCACAATAATATACACACTAGACTATAAACATAAAACGCTAGATTAATCATAGACCTTTCTAAGGTCTAGTAGTTTAACAGCACGCCAATCGTTTGATGACGTAGAGAATTACATAAACGCGCATGCGCTATGAATTAATACGTTCCAGTTCATCAAAATGTTCGTTTTTTTTTCATTTCATTGACAACAATATATTTCCCATAAAATATAAATCATCTTATTCAGATCCACACTGGATTACAACATCGTACAATTGATATGATGCAACCGCTGTGTCTGCCCATCGACGAAACCATCCTACCACAGAAGCTGAAAGACCGCGGATATGCCACTCACATGGTAGGAAAATGGCATCTGGGCTTTTACAGACAAGAATGTTTACCGAATAATAGGGGTTTTGATACATTTATGGGTACGTATATTTGTTGACAGGTTAAGTGGTTATGCATAGAATATTGGCAACACTAAAACAATAAATATTCCTTGAAAGCAATCGGCCGTGATGGTCGAGATCTCGCCGAGATCTACGAGACTTGTTTCTTCTCCTCAAATCATGAGTGTTCTCTCTCGTCTATCGCGTTCACTAAATTATTTAACATTATATAATTTTACACAGTGGGCGCAATTAAGGAGAGAACGGAATACTGCCCAAGGGGCAAAAACAGGTCTCGTGGCTCTCGTTGTCAACGAGATCTCACCAGCCATTAGTGTCTAGGGTTCATTGGATACGTTTGAGTATTATTTGTTCTTTGTAATCGGCATTAAATGTCGCACTATTATTTATTTTCAATTATAACCGGAATTTTGTTAGCGCACATAATACTTGTACGTACTATTAATTCATCTTGCATGCGCATTCATCAGATGAACCCCATATCGTGGGTGGTTACAAATTTTCCGGTTTCGGGCAAACTTGTAAATCAAAACATCAAATGTCATCAGCTTTTAAAATTAAAATGTAAGTATATACCGATTTAAGACACAATGCAGTAATGTTGGAAGAGAGCTGTGTCAAGGCGTCACTTATCACTTACCATTGTAGGATTTTACCAGGCCATGGGCGACTACTATTACCATAATGTCAGTACCGGAAAATTCAATGGCTGGGATTTTCGACGAGACAATGACGTCATCGCTGAACGGTATGCAGGTCAATATTCAACCCACGTGTTTGCAGATGAAGCTCGGGATATAATAAGCAAACATAACCCGGATGTAGTGAGTAACATCGTATAGATCTATGGAATAAAAAGAAAAAAAATACTCCACATACCACTCACAGCTGTTACATTAGTTCACTTATTGTTCCCTTGTAAACGTTAATACGTGATGTTTCTTTATGCTGTGCAATAATGATGTGGTCATTATTATTTGGAATGTGTGCTTTTGCTTATGCAGTTTATTCACTGTTGTCCGTTTTAAATGGAGTTATTTAAATGTGTAATCCTCGCAACCTGTTGCCTGCACTCCAGGGGTAATGACTGATTTTTTTTTCGATCATAGGGTAAATATAAGTGAATGACCGAAGAGCGGTAAACTGATTTAAAAATAACTCAATAATATTTATAAATTAATGTTTAAAAAACCGGGGCCACAGCTTTGTGGAATTGATAGCGTATGTTTAAGCTATTTCGGCCGAAACCATCAATAATCCACTAACTTGTTGTCAATAATTGTATTAATCATTAACAATGTTGAAACTATGGGTCAAAACGTTTACATTCAAAACTTAGTTTATAATTTTCAGTGAATGCTTAAAACGTGTAAAATATGCTGTTTAGTCAATTACCTAACACTGTCATGTCGATCATCATTATCCGCCATTTGTCATGTCATGTCATTTTTGTTTTTGTCCAATCCAGACATGATGGCGCCGTACTATTAACAAGCGCACAGTTCAGATCACTCAATTATTATAGTAGACGAGGGTAAAGTTTTTTTCCAAAATGATGTGCGTTCGTAAGAATACATGAACAGGTTATTTTGAAGTGTTTAAATATTTCCTGAATCACATATAATGTAGATACTCAAGAAATGGAGTATAGTTATTGAATACGTACACTCGATTAGCAAATCACTATGTTTACAATCCCGCACAGCACGCTATCAGCCAAACAGCGCCCTCGCGTCTAGAACAACGCAAACGCAAAGTGATTTTGCAAAACCGCAAGTTATCTTGCTAACGGACTGACCGAATAATTCACAGAACCGCCAAAAAAAACAATATTAGTAATTTAAAGTATTTGTATAATGTCAAAAGCAGCTTAAAATAGATTTGACCCAAATGTAGGAAATCGTGTTAGCTATGAACCCGGTGACTCTTATCATGTATCATTGTCGTAACGTTAACATTGAGCTGGTTTAACAACAAGTTACTAATTACTAGTATTTCGAAAAAAAGTTACGATAGTTTTGCATAACACAACTTACGTTGCGCGTAATTCCATGATACTATATTCGACATACTTACCTACAACTAGCTTGGTAAAAACAGTAGTCTCATTTGTCAGAAAAAAAACAGATACTGCTGCTGAATTGTTCGAGTTACGAACATCGAGTTACAAAATTGACCACGCCCACTTTTTCGAAACCACGCCCGAATTTTAACTCTATGTTAACAGAACTTCAAGTTGCGGGCCACATACATTTTTGTTTTCAAATTTGTTAAAACGGTCACATTTGAAAACCCAAACTTTAATTAAGAGTTAATCGAACTTCGAGTCACGGACAAGATAGATTTTTTTTAACACTGTATGTGCAAAAGTGGGCGTGGTTTCCATAATATGATCGTGGTCATTTTTATGGCTCGGTGGTTTCGAGACACGATGTTCGTAACTCAATGTCCGTCACTCGAGCAATTTAACATCCCTTGTATCAGATGGCGAAACACACAGAGTGTATGGTACACATGCAGTACAATGCAATACACTGTGTTCCTTTTCAGCCGCTGTTTCTGTTTCTCTCATTCCAAGCCATCCACTTCCCGCTACAAGTGCCATCACGATACGCCGACATATACAATACACTCATTCCGAATAGTGCCGATAGACGCACGTACGCAGGCATGGTAACATGTATGGATGAAGCAGTCGGTGGCGTCGTCGCCACCTTGAAGCACAGTGGTTTGTGGGAGAACAGCGTGCTTGTATTTTCAACAGGTGGGTAACTACATGATATTGCATGAATAAGTGCGCCCTCCCACTGTAATTGTGTCACGACTGTCTGTCATGATTTAAATACTAGTAGTACATATATAGCCCTCGCGTTTCTGGTGTACGCGATGTTGTTTTCGATTACGTCACCCAGATGTCGGGCAAACTGCGGAATATGATTAATTCAATATCAATTCTACCCAATCAGACAATGGTGGAATTCATTCTCTCGGTGGTAACTGGCCTTTGAGAGGTGGTAAAGCGTCATTGTATGAGGGCGGTGTCCGTGGCGTGGCGTTCGTTACTAGTCCGTTGCTGCCCAGCCGAGTGCGTGGTACGATTAACAAGGAACTGCTGCATATGACGGACTGGTTTCCTACCTTGGTTCGATTGGCTGGTGGCCATCTGATGGGTAACAAACGATTAGATGGATACAACCAATGGGATACAATCAGGTTGGTCGCCCATCTTTCCATTCCCCGAGATCTCTGTGAGAAATTTTGTCAATGAAAGCAAAATCAGTCTGATATTACTAGTAACAGTAGATATGATCGGTTTTGCATGTTCTTGTTTTCTAATACATGTATATGATAAAACGTGTATAACGATCACACCGTTCTGTCATTTGTTGTACATATAGTTTATTATATTTTGAAATATTCACGATGTAAATATTATGCCTGTTTAGCTATGTTTAATATCGTTCTTTGATACATGTACTGCTTATTGCTGCATTATCATTGATCGTAAACTAATGAAATAATAATAATAATAATAATAATGCTGCTCTTCGTCTACAGTCAAGAAACTCCTTCTCTGCGGAACGAAATATTGCTGACTATCAACCCACTGAAGAGGAAGCCGAATCATTTCGTTGACGACCCGTATGCTGACACTGATAGTTTCGACATCTTAATGAGGGCGGCTATCAGAGTTGGTGATTGGAAACTGATTACAGGACCAACTGGTGAGCACTGACATTCTACGTCACGTTTACGTCTCATTCACTCATGGAATGAAAACACAAACTTTTTAATAGAGAGGCCATTGTCCTACATGGGATCTAAGTGCACGAGCCATGCGATTGTCTGCACGGTCGACTTAAATGACATTTTCTGTAAATCTCACTATCTATTGATAGTGAGAGTATCTGACGCACGGTGTTTACATCGTCGATATTGTTTTGAATTGTAGTTGTTCATGTAAGAAAATTATTGTTTTCTGAGATTTCCGTAAAAATAATGAACCTTACTACGGAACTTAGTTGTCGATTTTAACATTTCTTTCACCAATTTTCACTCTGACAGAAGTGCTTCTTCGAAAGAGAAACTGTAAAACATATTTACTATAAGTTACGCCCTCTAGCGACAAAGTGATTCTATGACGTAATAGTTGACACGAAAGACGTTCGAAAGGTCGATATGGTTTTCATCACTCTCCCATTTCTTTCACCAATTTTCACTCTGACAGAAGTGCTTCTTCGAAAGATAAACTGTAAACAGGGTTAAAAAATGCAATTTGTTTTGCAATTTTCAAGAAATATTAGGACACGTTTCTCAAAAAGCTTAACTGTAACACACAAAATAATGCTATTTAATTGTACCATTATTCATGATTGTACATAATAAACTAATGAACATTGTCATACGAATTATGACCAATTTTGTCAAAATTATGACTACCTTAATCATAGAAGAGCTTCGTCACTGGAGGGTGCAATTTATAGTTAAAGGCCCAGGTATACTATAAATACGCTCATAAACAATAGGGATTATTTCCTTGCTTGTCACGCTGTAGTAAACAGCTCCAACCAAGCTCCGGTAAAAACATGTTTTCTCAAACTGACAGGTCAATTATGTTGTGCCAAAGTGGATGCTTGTGACTATGAATACCACAGCAGTGACTGTGTGTAGTATTTATGACAATAAATAATGTACGAGCTGATATTTTGGCGGATAAAAGTCAAAAACACGAACCGGGGAAAGGGACGTGCTACTAATCTTGAATAATTAACTACTGTCAATCAAAGTCACGTGATGTTGGACTGCTGAAACAGGATGCGTCATAGGCTATGCAAATGATTAACAACACTCATTAGCATAGCCACACCTCCAATTCACACTTGCCCAGGGCAAGTGAATTGGGCCTTTAAGGTGTACTCTTATTTCGCTGACCTAAGTGTTTTTCAAAGTAAACTAAACACGTATGAAACATTCTTTTTCTTCCTGTAAAGGTAATGGTAGCTGGGTAACTCCTGCCGAGTTTGGGTTCAACTCTCTTCATCCCGAAGAACGTACACACTCTGTAGAACTATACAACGTGATCGCAGATCCGAACGAACGACACGACTACTCACGTGACAGACCGGACATAGTTGGCGCACTTCTGGATCGGATTGGTCACTATTATAAAACATCAGTTCCTGTGCTCAACCCACCTCAAGAAGTTACGCGCGCCGACCCTGCTCTTCATGGTGGGGCATGGTCACCATGGAGATGAAATAACGTGATCACGGATTAGGTCACAAAGCATTGAATACTGTGAATGATTTTTCATGACGTTGTCAAATTGAAAAAAACACACTGAAACTTAACAAAATAGTAACAGGCGTATTTATGTATGCGATAATGCACGAGTGGAATACAATGGTTCGGATAATGAAGTTCAACAGCTGAACGATGCACGACCCAAGTGCATAATCTGACTTATAATACATCAAACGCACCTGTTTAATGTACTGGCCAATCATGTTCAACTAGCTACTAGTAACCATGGTTCAACTGATTCTGTTACTGTAAAGTAATTTATTTTATCTGGAATAAATTTTCGCTGAAAAGACTTTTGGGGCTTTTTGTATGGAATTTATTTTCACTGATTTTTGACAAGTTGAATGTAAAAAAAAAGGAAAAAAGGTATATTAGCTGGATTTTTGTTTTCACTGAATCATTCCTTCAGAGAAGATAGCCAAAATTAATTCCAAGCGAAAATAAAGTATTATACAGTGGTACGTTTATTCATGTTTCGGGTAGTTTTTCATTGTTCACATAATATTTTTAATATCGTAGGTAGACGACGTTACATTGCATTAACATTATATTTATGACATTTTGACAGCCAACCACTGGCATTGAATCCCTGGCAGACTAACTCTTATATTGTCAAGTCAGTGTAAAAATAAATGGGGTTGGTGGAATAAGTATTAGAGGATAAAATGTTGGTCTTTGAGCTTCGAGATATGAGTTTGAACCAAGCAGGTCATTGTGTAGACACTGTCTACTACCATACCTTCTGTGATCTGTTTGCCTGCCCCTCCACCTTCATATTTGTTACCAACCCCACATTTCGGTGACGTAGAGGGCTATAATGAATTGAGTATGATCACAATAGGTTCTGTGATTTGTGATCAATTGTTAGTATAGTGGCATATAATGTGATATGGTGGAGGTACAGAACAAATCATTGCAACATTTAGCCCTGGCTTCAGTTAAAGTGCCTGTGCAATGCCCACTCTCACTCTCAGAGTGGGCATTATTTATTTATATTCGGTCAGCCCACTCAAACAGCATCATGGATCTTCCTATAGCAAAATGTGTTGAATGCGAAAAACACAATACACGGAATGCGAATGCATACAGAAGCAATATCCTAACCTCAATTCCCTTATACAATATTTTAATCAAATTGCACCAATTTTGAGGTGTAATTGAGATTGTCGGGTTTAAATCAAAGGTTTGGCAGTTATTAGTTTGTTTTGAATCAAACACATAAAGCAAACACAATGTACATCCACCTCATTTTGCTATACCAGGCTGTGTTTGAGTGGGCAGCTAGCAACCAAATATAAATAACATCTACTCCGGGGATATGCAACACTATGCGATTGTTACAATCTTGTCCGGTCTCAGATTTACCCATAAGGCCATCACATTTAAATAATTTTATTGGCATCTCAAAATCCTTTGAGGGATTAGACATACAATACTGTCTTCATGGTCAGTCAACATGTGGTTTTTACCACACATTATACAATATGATATAGTTGCAGGATGTAGCTACTGAAACAGTCAGACTAACAATGTATTTGTCCAACTGCACAAACCCCAACTCAAAACAACTAAACCGGTAAAACCAGTCATTGGAGTAATTAAATGATAATAAAACTTTAAAAAATAATGGGCAATTGGGGGGGGGGGGGTATAGAACTGGAAACATGTTCAACCACACGTGGTGTGATTGTCATGATTACCATAATCGAACATGCAATCACTGGATAATCACAATTGGACAAAAACTCTCTCCTTGCAGATCTCATAAGGAGACTGAATAGATAGTGACTGCACACTCCCTTTACCAGTCTGGCTGCAAAGACAGGCACGAATAAGCATATAAGTACTGATGCTAGTGTGTACATATATATTGCATCTTTAAGTTTTCCAGCGGTGTGTGTGGGATTGTGTCGAGACGACTTATTTCACACCACAATAATACTACCATTCACATACTAACTGAAACAGTTAGCAGTCAGCCATCTTTTATCGGATGACTAAATTATTCTGTGTGCGTGCCATGATGGACAATCTATAATTGTCTGGAATAGAATTTGTCAAAAACAAAATGGCTACCAGTCAGCCATTTTGAGTCAAATTTACAAATCAAAATGGTGTGAACTACTTATAAATGGATGATTCATTCCACTAAGTTTGAAGTAAATCGGCCAACAAATGCCAATGATCTTAACATGTCAATTACGGTACCTGATTAATGTTTTTTTAACTAAAACAGTCAGCAGCTGGCCGTCTTTCAATGTATAAAGTTTAAAGTAAATTGCTCAAAACATGTACAAGACGCATGTCTAAATTAGAATGTCAAAAACAAAATGGCAGCCAGTTAACATATATTGATAGGCAAATTGGCCGATACTGTATGCAATTTTTCTGGGGAGAACACAGACTGTCGACAGTTTTCGGGCCTAATAAAGAGTCACTTATTTTCAAACGCCGTAGGCGTTATAACGAAATGCCGTAAGGCCCGAGAGACTGTTATAAAACTGTAAACACCCCCATGCGGCATTACGTGGAAATTTCCCGGTGACGTTCCTGTTGAGACCTGCAACTCAAACGA